CTAGAGTAGCAGTGAAAAGCGTCTCCTTGTCGGACGCCTTTGGTAATAGGAAATTCTGGAGTGTTTTCATAATTTTTTACCTTATCTTTTGCTTGGCTGTATATTTCATCAACTAGCCTCTAACGTCCACTGCTGAACATAGGCCTCTCGCATGCTCTTCCACTTAGTCCGATTTTGCGCCATCTGAATCCAATTTGTACTCACTCTTTTTATGTCATCTGTCCATCTCGTTGGGGGTCGACCTCTATTTCTGAGAGCTTGTATTCGGGGTCTCCATTCCAAAATTCTTTTTGTCCACCGGTCATCAACTGATCTTGCTACATGACCTGCCCAGTTCCACTTTAGTGTTGTTATCCTTTCAATAACGTCTGCTACTCCTGATCTTTTGCGTATAGTAGCATTGGGTATTCTATCACGTAGAGAAATCCCTAACATAATTCTCTCCATTGCTCTTTCCGCAACTTGTAGTTTACTCACTGTTGTTCTTGTGAGCGTTAGGGTTTCTGCGCCGTAGAAAACATATTTATGTTTGCTAAATTTTCTATGTACGGTTTGTCAATGCCTTGTTTAGTCGAAGCTTCTATTATTGTCTTGGAATATATAGAATCGAAAGCCTTCTGGAAATCTATGAAGGTTAATGCTAGCGGTATTTCATATTTTTTAGCTCTACTAATTAGTTCTCGAAGTGAATTAATATGATCCATATTGGTACTGAGTCCACTTCTGAAGCCAGCTTGCTCTCTCGGCTGTGCAGCATCTAATGCGTTTGTTAATCTGTTGTTGATGATCTTTGTGAATATCTTCTATATGATTAGCAGTAGACTTATAGGTCTGAAGTTTTTGATATCCTCTTTGTTACCTTTCTTATGAATGAGAGTTATGTTTGTTGTATTCCAGTCGTCTGGTGTACCACTGCTGCTTTACCACTTTTCATTTTTGTAATTGACGATTCTACTTCTTCTGGAAGAACTTTTGGTACATCTTGGTTACTGATTACTTCTTCAAGTGTGTCAGGTGCTTTGTATAGTTAGTTCTCTGTAGAATTTAGTCACGAATCGTGTTATTTACTTTCTGTCTGTAATTCTGTTGTTTTCGTTTATTAGAATAAGCTCAAACAGGTCCTAAAGACCCAAGGCTTCAATGGATTTCTTTCATTTCTTTCTATCTTGTGCTAGGTTTCTCCAGTTTTATACTCATAACAAACCAAGTCTTCTTTTACCGATGCCATTTATTTTCTTTTTGTTTGCCCTATTTTCCTTTTTGTGCCAGCTTCAGTAATTATATCAAAAACTATTTAAATTTTAGATTCACCAGCTATCCCCTACAATGGAAATTTTAGGGGGAAACCCGGGAGTAGCTGGGATAAATTTTATTCTATCTTTTTGGGGTCCCAAAAGTGACATTCTCAGCTAAATTCAGCTTGTTCGTATGATTTTTAGAGGTTCAGTGGCATTTTCGTCTCTGACAACTGGAGTACAATATTACATTGTACTTTTTAATTTTTCTAGGATTTTCTCATCTCTACTGATATTCTTTTTGTATTAATTAAAGATTTTCTATGAAGGTCCATGGTCTCCTTGTCCGTATTACATTAATGATCGCTGTTAATTAGCATCAAAATAGACAGTTTTATTATCGATAATACGAATAAAATACTAGAATGATTCATTGGAAAATTAAATTAAAATACCTTTATTTTCTAAGGAGGCTACTAATGTCAACATCGATGGCATAGTTTTAATGAACACCTTGACCCAATTTTTCCATTTGCAGCATGATACGTTACGTGAAGTATTCTGAAAATAAAGTTTTGTATGTTTTGATTGAAATGTTTACACTCGATTGAACTTGATAAACGAAATTCAAGTGCAAATTAAAGACTACTTGCATAGGATGTCATAATATTATTGGAAATTGAACCATAATATTTTTTACGGAGCTTATTAAAAATAGAAAATTTATAGCAAACGTTTTAGAATGAAAAATTGTATTATTTTGTTCTTAATGCATCTCTCTGACAAGATATGGGTAGGTTTAAATTATAACAGACGTCACACTGCTAGTTCCAGATCATATGTTTGGGTTTTCTAACAAATATTCTACTACCGTAGAATAGTTAGATTTACGACTACGAATGAGTCGATTTCCTATAGTGGTGTCAGTTGGACCTTTGGTCAATACTTAGTGTCATAGAATTTTGAAAGGTGCAGATCACATAACTGCCCTTCATAAGCTGTCATTTGTCACATGTCATCTCTACATTTCCGTCAGACCGGGAGCCCATTCTGTCTCCGGCTTCTTCACAATATGTAGCTTCTCCATATAAATTTTAAAGTGTTTGTTTGTCTTAGTGTAGTGTATTTTGTATTGTTATATCCAGATTTTACATTTATGACATTCTACTATGTCGGATAGGCCACAATTGACGACATGCCCCTGAAGATGATCTATTGATCGAAAGTACTTGGGCAAGATTAAATTAATCACCGTGTTCGATAGTTGCCTTGTACACCCTCAAAGTTTAATTATTCGAACATTCAACCTTATATTGATATATATATATATATATATATATATATATATATATATATATATATATATATATATATATATATATATATATATATATAATAGCACTAAAGGCCTTAGAGGCCCATGGCTTAAACATTTTGTTCTTTCTTTATTTTTGCTTTCCTTTATGTACTGAGATCTTCTCTGGCTCGATATGTGACTTTTCTCCATTCCTTCTTGTTATTCATTTTTCTTTTCTGACCGTCTAGGCCAATTTCTTCCATATCTTTTTCTACCTCCTGATTCCATCTATTTTTTGGCCTTCTTTTTCTCTTTTTTAAAGTTATAGTGTAATTTAGTACCCTTTTTGGAGTCCTCATGTTCGGCATCCTTTCTAGGTGACCTCGCCATCTTAATCTCTGTGCCTTTATGACTCCTCTTATGTTAGGTTGATTATATAATTTCTTTAACTCATTATTTGATCTTCTTATCCATAAACCGTCCCTTATGATTCCTTCATATATCTTCCTCAGGATTTTCCTTTTTCATATCTCCAGTAAATTTTGTTCATTTTTTGTCATTGTCCACGTCTCACTGCAGTATGTTACTATTGGTTGTATAGTTGTTTTGTATAACTGTATTTTTGCCTTTCTTGATAAAATCTTGCTTTTCAACATTCCACTAAGAGCATGTACACTTCTATTGCCTGCCATTATTCTATCTTGTATTTCTTCTTTAATGTTAGGTTTACGTGATATTATTGTACCTAGGTATGTAAATCTTTCTACCATTTCGAATTCGTATGATTATCTTTCTTCTACTTCTACTTTAAACTTTTGTCCATCCCTAAACTGATCATCTGTCCACTGCATACATTTTGTTTTAGTTTCATTTATGTAAAGTCTCATTTTCTTTGCTGCTTTTACTATTCTCTGTACTATCTCCTGTAGCTCTTTTTTCCTCTTGCCAGCAACACTATATCATCCGCAAATGCCAAAAACTTGGTGTATTTTATGATATAGGAGTCCTTCTCTATTGATTTTCGCTTCTCGCATTATTTTTTCTAGGCACACATTGAAGAGTAATGATGACAAAGGATCGCCCTGCCTTAATCCTTCGTTTATTATAAATTTGTCCGATGAATGATTGTTTACTTTTACTCTGTTTTCTGTATTCTCTAAAGTAAGATGTATCATGTTACGTAACTTTCTGCTAACTCCCAGTTCCTCCAGAGTCTCTTTTAATTCCTTCCTTTTTATTCTATCGTATGCTTGCTGGAAGTCAAAAAGGAAGGTATTTTTGTCAAGAAGTGGTCAATATAGGAATTAATATTAAACTGAGTGAACGAAAATGCTAGATAGACTAAACGCGAGTGGAGTGACTTCCGAGGTTTATACATATAGAGGTAGGAATAGATCTCACAACACGATGAATGATTTATATTAAAAGGGTTACTGCAACCTGGATTTACACACCACAAGATCGGGAGAACTGGAAACCATTGAGGGAGGCCTACGTCCAATAGTAGACACTAGTAGGCTGTGTGATGATGAATAAATTCAACTCTTGTTATATCTTATTTTCTAATTCATATTAAATTTACATTGCAGAATGGTAAAAAAACACTGGTATCTTCAAAAATTATACCTCCAGAAGAAAATATACTAATAACAATAAATATTGATTCATTGGAAAGTTTTGAATGTAAACCAAACAAATGTAAAAAATTAAAATAAATATCTGATGACCTTGACACGATTTATCAACGTGTAAATAGCACTGTAAATATCGTGAAAAAGTCCTTTACCAAATTGCATTCAGTTTTGTTTTATCTTTCTGTTGTATAATATGTGTAGCTTGTACAGAACTTTCTTTAGTGTACTGGTTGGGATCACAGTTGTACTCTCCAGATTTATATTTTTGTGAAAAAACTGTTTGGTGCGTGGCCTTCAAGTATCAAGTGGTCCTTGTTTCTAGTATGTTTTGGTAGCTTCTGGACTGATTATAAATTAGTTAATATTTTATTTTTGATGATGGGAATAACCGTTAACAATAAATAAATAACTCCGTACAAAATATAGTACTACCTTCGGAATTGGCGCAATAACCCAACGAAATGGTAAGGCAATCAAGATACATATTATATAAAACGTGTAGAACAATACCAAAGCAATTGCAATAATGCGTCACCATTATTATTTTTAAAATAGAAAACTGAAATCCATATTTGAATTATAATGCTTGTTCATTTTTAAATATTTATTTTCCTATACACATTACATATATTGTTTAATCAATACCTTATGCAATATTTTAAGTTTTCAAAACATATTTTGGTAATTCACGATTTAAAAATTAGCAATATTACGTATCTTCAGTGCATCATTCAAAAGGTCTGTTGCACAAATGCGGAAATATTTATGTTTACATTATTGTAAAACGATTATTTAATATTGTGAATAATTAACAACTTTTATATTTTGTTCCAGATACCAATATGTCACATCTAGTTACCAGTGTCGTAGAAAAATACAACGATATATTAGAGCATGGAGGTAAGTAAACTTTTATTGGCTAAATATAGGCGTGGAACAATGATGTAATAGTACTCTGTTAGTCTCTAGTGAAATTAAAAGTTCTATAATAACATGAAATACAAGAAAAACACGATTTTTTAATTGTTGATTCAAATATCATAACTGGATTTCTTGTGACATAATAAAGCAATCAACTAGTCTATCGGTACACTTATATCATCAACAATGGCAAATTTAAAAAATTCAATTTCTGTTCTTTTTTTACAACAAGTTTTAAGCTAATAAGCAAATAGAATAACTTTTCTTATAAATTTTCAGTTAACATTTTTTTTCTTACTTATATGGAACTTATACGGAAAGTTTAGCGAAAGACGGGTATTTAAAACAACATTAAGATTGGTCAACTAGTTCCGAATTTATGATGATAATGAAGAAGACGATTCACATGAATAGATACAACATATTTAGTGTTGCTCAAATGCAAGAACAAGACGAGACTTAGACAGTCTTGGTCTTGGTCTTGCGCCAATACACCTGGTCTTGGTCTTGGTATTGCACTCCCGGTCTTGGTCTTGGTATTGCAGCAAGAGTCTTGCAAGTCTTGCACTTACCCATTAGTCTATTGCTATTTATTAAACGTTACTCTAGATCTTAGAACAACGTAACAGAGCAAGTACATGTTAAGCTTAGCAAGTACATATGATTAGAGGGCGGCTATTCTCAAAACCTGCACAGTTAATTTCAGAGCGAAGTATTCGTCTACTGGAAACGACTATTTTGTTTTTACATTGTAATTATGACCTCTGAGTACGTGTCAAATGTGTTTTTTAATGAATATTTTGATTCGTTATGTATGTTTATGGTATTGTTCGTAATGTGCATAAGTCCAGTTTTTCAACTTTTTATTACATATTTTTTGCATCTCATAGTGTCTTTAAGCATATACCCGAACTACTATACTCGCTAAGCCTACACTTAGTCCTAACTGCAAGACGCAAGAGTCTCGCAGGCTTAGTCTTGTTCTTGCTTAAATCTTGCACAATCAGTCTTGGTCTTGCTAAAAATCTTGCACAATCAGTCTTGGTCTTGCTAAAATTAAGCGGTCTTGGTCTTGCGAAAACGCAAGAACAAGACCAAGACCGATTTTGGGCAACACTAAACATATTAGTAAAAGGCTTAAATTAGAATATATTTTACAGTTGTGTCGTATAAAATTTATTAATTTTTTATTTTTTATCTTACTCTTGTGCCTTGCTCGATTATCGTGCGGTGCTATCAAATTGGCTATACTAATTTTGTTGACGGCAGCTCGGAAACGGGATACAGATAATCTGTTAAACCATTCTCTCAGTTTCTTAAGCCATGACGCTCGTCTTCGACCTGGCCCACTTCTTCGATCTATCTTGCCTTGAATTATATTATAATATTTGACCGTTTGATGCGGTCGAAGGACTTTCTATAATCGACAAAGCACAAATACAGCCGTTTTTGAACCTCAAGATACCTTTCTGCCATCAGTGTCAATCCCATAATTGCTTCTCTAGTGCTTGTACCCTTTCTAAGACCATATTGAGAATGACTCAAGTATTCTTCACACTTATTGTGAATTTTGTTATAAATTATTCGCATAAAAATCTTAGCGCTATGACTCATTAGGGATACAGTTCGATGGTCTTCACATTTCCTTGCTTCTTGTTTTTTAGGAAGAGCTATATATGTGGATGTTAGCCAGTCATGCGGTATTATGCCATGTTCATATATAATGTTGCAGAGGTATGTTAATTTTCTGACAATATTATCACTTAGGTGTTTAAAATGTTCGGCTGTTATTAGGTCTTCGCCAGGTGCCTTGTTGTTCTTTGCGTCTTTTATTGCCTGCAAAACTTCTTCGAAGATATTGCTCCCATATTTCTTTCTGTTTTCAAGGTCTAACTCCATTTGGTTTTTCTTGTTTATTACAATCGATAAGTGTTTGTATTTCCATATTCCAACTACTTCTTTAACCTGTCTGTGTAGTTCTCTATCTTTATGCTTCATTTGCAAATCTTCTACCTCTTTACATTTTTCTTTCATCCACTCTTCCTTAGCTACATTTATTTTTTCCCAATTTCCCTGATGAGTTCTTTGTATCTTGTTAGGTTTTTGTTTTTTACCATCCGTCTCCTCTCCATAATTTGTAATATTTCGTTTGTCATCCATGGTTTTCTATGTTTACGGTTTTCTTTCTGTATACTTTTTTCTGCTGCCTCCAAGACAGGATTTTTAATTTATGAGACAGTTTTATATTATTCGTTGTATTACTAATACTTTTAATTCTAAATTGCACGTAAGTTTGAACAAATTCGAAGATAATAATATACACACATCGTTAAAAAATTACTGTTTTAATTACTCTTTCTAAATGAATTTTCTCTATTCCCACACGTCCATAGACAAGGATATCCATCACATTTGAAGTCTTAACTACAATTTTGATATTCCCTGCATGATTAATAGCAGTTACATATGGAAGGTACACATTTACAAAAATATAAGTAATTTATAAAAATCCCAAACACCGTTGGGGTCAGTAAGTCATTAAAATTAAATTAAAAATTGTATGTGCTTATTTCCAACGCTACCTAAACGTCAGTCAGTCTTGTTTAATGAAGAATCTGTAAATTTATCCTCTCACTGGATGTATTATTAGCTAAATCGCTGACCATCTACCACATTTTAGACCAAGTGCGTTAAGAATCGCAAACGATGGCATACATAATACATTGTGGAATAAAAAGGGATGCAACTAGTAGAGATGGGAAATTATCGATAGAAACCGATAATTTACATTAGATTAGGACTATCGATAGTTTCCCACCTTTGGATGCTAGCTTATGACCTAGTTGACTTCTGGCTGAACACGGGTGATAGAGTAATCATTCCAAAAACGTTCTATGATGTAGCTCGAAAGGGTTCTTTTATTAAATATACCTTTTATAAAGAATTTTTGATTAATTTTTTTGTGATTTATGGTATCCAACTGACTACAGGAAATTCATTTTCCTTGTTGATGCTAATACATTTCGTATTTGACAAAGTTCGGCAATCTTAGGAAAAAGTCATGTCATCTGGTTTGCACAAAAAATATGAAACAACTCTCGGCCAACTATAAATATAATTGCTGCGTAAATAGTCTTGTAATAGTGTTTAAGTCGAACAAAATTCGAATATTCTCCTCATCAATCACCGTATTTGTCGCAGGTCATCCAATCTGTACATCTTATCAGATACGTACTAATTATGAATGTTATAGTTATTCCAAGGATCGTGTTGATCTATTTACACTGGTTTTTCATGTTCCTCGTTTGTGTTTAGTAATTTTTCACCTGTATCAGTCCATCAAGTTGGTTCATCGTCTTCGACTGCTTACCCCGGTTTTCCTTGGACAACTATTACTCCATATTATCGACACCTGTTATATATTATATGTCCGAAAACTATTAATATTCTTGAAATTGGGGAAATAGGGAGAGACGTTGTGGATTGTTAATCTCCGCAACAATAAATGTTTTTGCTCTTGTGGCTCTCTAACACCACATCACTAATGCATCGATTCGGCGCCACCTGATTGTAAATTGGAGAGCGAGGAAATATTCGAGAAATATGACAAGATATAATAGTTAATTTTTGGCCTTTTAAGGAGCCAGTTATTTTAGAGAATACGGTATTTTTATTAATATACATATTAAGTATGTATCTATAATGTATATCTTTCCATAAGAAAACGAAAGTTTCTAGACTGCAATTGGAATATCTGATAAAATTTCAATTGTAAAATGTATTACTGTTTTAACTGTCTACTACTATCGGCAATATTTAGATCTACTTATCTTAGTGACGTAACACAATGTTGTGATATTACTTAGATTAGATAAGCCTCCGTTTTGCGGAAGAATATGGTATTTTGTGGTAAAAATATTGCGGATCCATAGACGTGTATCTGTATGTAAAATAAATTTCCCATTCGTATAATTTTGAGAAATTTGATAACATCGTCTTCTTTTTCTTAGAGTGCCGTCTCCCTACGGAGGTTGGCAATCATAATGGCTATTTTTATTTTAGAACTTGCTGCTCTAAACAAATCAATCGATCTCCATTGATACCAATCACGTAGATTCTTTAACCATGAGTTCTGCCTTCGGCCAACACATCTTCCTTAAATCTTTCCCTGTATTATGAGTCTCAAAATTTCATATTTTGGTCCCCTCATCACGTGGCCTAGGTATTCCAGTTTTCTGGTTTGTATAGTGGTGATTAGTTCTGTTTCTTTACCAACCCTCTCCAGTACTTCTCCAGCACTCCAGTACATCGTAGCAATATTTAAATAATTTTGAAAAAAAAGTGCGATTAGCTACATACTCCAAATTGTTATACATGGTTTTCATTGCTATTTTAGTTAAAACATGATGTCAATTTATGAAAATTTAACCCAAATCACTTTTAAACAGTTATATGGATATCTACTATTTTCTTAGACATATAATACATAATAGACTGACTGCTGCAATACAGTCGCGCTTTTCCAGTGCGACAGAGAAAACTGACGCAAAGCAGTCCCTGCATCTCTGTCTAATGGCCGAGTTTATCGACCACGTGACCTTCTCATTGATCACGTGACCGATAAATCTGGCAAATTACCGGCTAGTATTGCAACGATCAGTCTATCTTGCCTTATATGTCTATGACTATTTTTAATGAGAAATAGCGATTAATTTTAATTAAAGGCGTTTATTTTGACGTTTCGATTTCTCAAAATACTATTTGTATTTATTTTGAGATGGATTTCCGAAGTATTTTCGGAAACATATTCGGTAATTTAAATTGTTAGAAAAGTTTGGTAATTTCAAGTATGTACATTAAAATATGTCAATAGTCAAAAATAGTTTGCCGAAGGAAAGAAACAACTATATATTTGTTTATTAAATTAACTGGGGAAATTGTAATTTTAGTTCATCTTAAAAGGCGGTAGTCACCAATAA